TAGTGAGCAAATTCTCATCAAATAATTTTAGATCCAGTCTTTTTATGCCTCAAAAGATTTCAGGGCTCTCCTATGCAAATCCTCCATCCCCTTCAGCCAGCCGGCATTCTTTGTGAGTGCCAGGGGAAGGTACCACGCGCATAACCCTGGTTAGAAAACAAGGATTTCTGAAGCCTTCTTTGGCTGCAGTGTTTATAGGGGACCATCCAAATGTATAGCTTTCACTTTCCAACTAGTTTGTGCCTATGATGCTAGGGTGTGATTGGGTATTCATGATATCCTACCTAAATAAACTGGCTGTATCCAGATAGAGGAAGAAACTTCCTTAGCGAAGAGTAGCAATCTAAATTATGTGCCTAACATTGGGTGATATGGGTGCTTCTTCAAATACTGTATGTCATTATCTTGTTCCCTAGCCTGCTGCTCAGCCTGAAGTAAATGAGCCAGGTGGCAACTACTACTGAGGAGCGGTAGGTGTCTCAGCTGGTTTATGTTGGATACTTAAATGGGAACAGTGGCCAAAATTCAGCAATATTAGTTCCCTTCCCTCGAGGTGGAGAGCCAATAACAGAAGGTGACATGGGGTCAAAGTCAGTGTTCATTGCTCATTTGCTTTCTCTCCCACAGTGCACTGTTGGGAAAGTTGTGTCCTGTAATGCACAGGAGCTAGAGATCAGTAGGCATGGCCCATGTTCCTGACCCTACAGCCTGAATACCAGTGTGTTTGTGTAGTTAAAAGTCATAAGACACACCCCTCAGGAGCCCAAGCACTCTGAGAGTCGCTTTGCAAGCCAGAGATAACAGTTGTGTCTGGTTCTCTGTTTTGGGTGGAGAATGGTGGGGTATGCAGCAAAAATGAGCTTTTTAACATCTGGTTAGCTTGAACACCTCAACAGCTGGGATTCAGGGTCATCACCAAGGCTATGGGCCAGTTCAGTGCCACTGACATATATGATGTAACCCTGGCATTGGAGCTGCTCTTGAACTGCTTGCAAGCCATATGTTTCTCATAAAGCTCCAGGCTGATCACTCCTGCAAGACAGTACAACTTCTTTTTCTTGGCAACGGCAACAGCTCACACACCATACACTCTCTTTCATGCCATGACAGTATTAGCATTTTGATGCATGAGCTTGTCAACAAATGCTCTTCCTTTACTGGTGTTACTTAGGAGCTTTATGAATGGACACAGCTGATGTAGCTAATGCTCATTAAAGATGTACAGAGGGGAAAAAATGTGTGTTTTTAGGTAAAATGCATTTTATCTTAAATAACCATTACTGACCTGGCATATTTGAAGTGTTTGCGTTTCCTGAGCTTTTGCAAGAAGGCTAATGATAATAAGGTAGTAAATAAATCAGATTATTAATTTTGGAAATAATTAAAAAGAACTTCAGAGGTCAAACTTGTGGACAATCTTAAATAAGTTTTGTCTGTAATTTCAAGAAAAAATGCAGCATTAATTCTGTTGCTTTAGTGCCTTTGTGTTTGGATGATGAAATGCTCTTGCTCTATGACAGTCACTTACTTTTAGGGAGATCCTTTCTTCTTGCAACTGCTCTGAAGAGCTGCATAATTAAACAACTGGCACATTTGTCTCTGAAGATGGCTCCATTTCAGTGAAGAGAGTATTCAGGGAAGATAATCTGAAAGCTTTGTTGTGAAGTTAAATTTGATTTGGAGGTGAAATAAGATAAATTGAATTAAGGTCATTTTAATTCAGAATAGGAGGGTCTGCATAAGACCGGTTATACCTTTATATATGAACAGTTATACCTTTATAGTCTATTTAACTTAACTTCTTTGAGTATTACTAAGTAGACAAGCCTGAATTTGTTACGTAGTGTGGGGTGAGAGAATATGTTAGCAAAACAAGTTAGAAATTTTGAGATTCTTCAAAAGGAGACTCAACATTGTGCAGTTCTTAAAATTAGTATTTTTCTACTTTTTTTTCCAGTTTTTCCTTAGTATCTAGTTCTAAATTTTGGATATAGTTAAATCCTAGAGGGTTTTGTTTTGCTTTGTGGAAGAGTTGATGAATGTTATTTTCCATTTTAGACAGGTGTGGAAATGCTTCCAGGGGGTTAAGAAATATGCTTAATGTAATTGGTATATTATCCTTTTTAAAATTTCTGTAAATCTTGTTTTATTGAATTTAATTTCTGTGAATGCTGTTGAAATAAATTAATCCAAGAGGCTTCAAAATAAACAGTATTGGAAAACTTCATCTAACTTGAATTCTTTAAAGTGGTATTCTGTCTTGCAGACGCTGCCGTCTTCTGCAGATATTTCACAGGCCAATGGAGAGTCAAAGGATCACGAGACACACGTTCAAGTGAATGGGATGACTGGGCCAATGCCTACAGACGCTCTGCAAAACATGGATGGCCTTCACAGTTTTCGCCTCTCTCCAAGCATGTATGCTACTTCTCCTGTAAAATTAAATGATCCGGAGAGGCTCATAGCCTTGCATTGGAACTAAGACAAAACCATCGCAGCAGTTGCCAGGTCAGTAAAACTCTTTTCATAGTTTTTAGTTTGGTGAAATCTATTATTAATCTATAAATCCAATATTTATATACTATTCGTATAAATATTTAAATGATCATTTCCAGAAATGCGTACTTTTTTAGTTTAAACAATCTGAAGACAAAGAACATTTAGTGTTTTTCATTATACGTATTCTTCCTCATTGCTTATGAATGGCTTGGGGCATGTAAAAACAGTTCAAGTTTTTGTTTTCATCATGATATTCTGGTAAGACCACCTTTGAAAATTGTTTGATGTTTAAAAGAAAAAAAAGTCATCAATGTGTGGATCCTGTCCTACCTGTTTTCCTCCATTCCCTTTTTTTTTTCTTAGTGATCCAATTATTCCTGTGCCCTGAAGCTCTTTATAGTAATTTCCATTAACTGCAGGAATCCTGTTAAGAACAGAACTGATCAATTGCAATTGCATTTGTGACAGTCTGCTGCTAAACTGAACACGCAGGAGATTTTGTCCTCTTTAAAAAATATATAACCTCTCCTTAACTGTTCAGAAACAAAATTCAAATATCCAATTATTGGAGCCACTTAGCTAGAGCAGTTACAAGCATTATTCTACTGAATTTTCTTTATAACCTTGGATTAAAATAAATGGAATAAAACAAGTAAAAGCAAAGTTTCTGGTTTTTGATGTTAAAGGATGAAAAGTTTATGCAAGATACAGATGTCTCTCTTTAAACAAGAAATCTATTATATAATGAAGGGATAGCTCAAATAGAACTCTGATAGTAAAGATGAAATCTTTAGAATTTTTAATCTAGAGAGTACTTATGACAGTTCAATTCCAGTTTCCTGGTCATTGTCTTTATCACAGTCGTGTATAAAAAGAATCAATGAAAATATTGTCATTAAAAAGAATTATTAGGAAGGGCAGAACGCAACTATCTCTTTAATTGATCTGATCTTTGCACCTTCAGGGATTTTTTTTTATATACATCATGTGTACTTTAATTAAATTCCGGGGAGAGCATGATACAGACCTATTGTACAATGAAATGGAACACTGCGGCTGGAATTAGCCACAGTGCACAGAAAGGCATGTTGCCCTGTCTTAAGAAGTATACCGGGACACCTAAAGTTATATATTCTTCTTTTCTTTCCTCCTCAGGTACCTTCGGTTGTCTCCTCCGATTCAAATCTGAAGGCTGACTTCAGTCTGCCTGGGATCTGAGACGAAGCCTACTGGCCTGTACCGTCAAAGATGAATGATACACTGAAACTTTCCGAGAGTAGTGCTTTCTGTGCCGTAAAGGGGAGGGGTCGGTTGTCGAAATGTGATGATGTATTTTTGGGTCAAATAGGAAATCAGCATGCAGGGGCTACTCCCCGGGGAATGAAACAGAAAAATGTCATTACGAATAACACATGGATCTCTAGAGAAAAACCAGATGGCTCAACCTCAGCTACCACAGCAAAAAGCTATTTGTCAGACGTGTTGTCAGCAAGTAATAAAGGTCGAAATCCTGTGGGGAGAAATCGACTGCATTGGAAAGACTAGAAACCTCAGAAATAAAATAAGGTAAAACATCATAGCAAAGTGATTTCCCCATTGTTACAAAAGTACTTTTTTTTTTTTAGCAAAAAGATTTTATTAGTTAGCATGACCTAGCAATTAGTTTGAGATGACTGGAAATTTTACACGAGAAAAATTTGTAACACTTTTTATAATCAATTTTCTAAGAACGTTTAAGAGCACTGCCTTCCAGTGTTCCTTCTGCCACTTGTTTGTGATTTGTTTTTCCTTTAACTAAGACTGAAATATCTATTAAATCACTTTTATAACTTCAACATATAGTGGCAAGTTTGAAAGTATGTCTGACTTTAGTGACAGTTTCCTCTGGAACTTGAGGAAATGTAATCTCACTGACTTCCTGAAAACACATTTTTACAGGAATTTTGGGAGTAGTTTTGCTGTTCTTAGCATACCTTCAGTGCCTTGGGGCTTTTTTTTATTTGTTTGTTTGTTTTTCATAAGCTGACCTATAACAGGATACTCAATGTATTCCTGTAGGTGGTAGTATCTGTAAAAAAAAAAAAACAAAAAAAACCCCCTTCAACTGTGACTTGTAAGCCCCTTGTTTAAATAGCAGTTTCACTTGAGTGGTCTTACTGGACTTTTTTCAGACCACTTTCTTTAGGTGACTGCTTGGGCCTCATGAGTACCGGAACATCTGAGCTAAGAGATGGATAACTCAGACTGCAGGTCATCCTGTGCTGCTGCCCCCACACTTTTGGAGATCCTCTATTATCTTCTGAATTTCTTTTTTTTAAATTACTTTTATTTAAAAAGAGCAATTTGTACTATACAGTAATAGGTGGCACTGTGCATGTGCTCTTTCTCTGCCTTCACTGATTACCCCCATGTGATATGTTACTACTTTACATTTGATGCTGCTCTTCAGAAGCCAAAGACAGAATGGGCACTGACTAGATTTGAAGTCATTTTAATGCACACAGTTCCAGAGGCACCACTTTACTGTGGGAAACCTGACTTTGTTTACTCAGTTAAGCTTCAGTGCAGTTGCTTACAGCGATAGCTGAATTGGTCTTCATCCAACACCTCTTTAGAAAATACACACCAGATGCCAAGGGGACTAGCTGCTGGAGCGGGTGTTTTGGAGCACTGTCTAAGCAGAGAAGATACCTGTGAAGTCCCAAACTTCAGGCTTCTGCTGCTTCTTGGGAAACAGGGCTACTGAATTTCTTTCTGCTCTTCTTAACGCCCAGCAAGCAATCATGAAGATGAATATGCCTGCTACCCAGCTGTCTTATTTAATGCTAAGATGTTCTGATGTGGGAGAGCACTTGTAAATATCGAGCATGGTAACTTCTATATTGGTAAATTAATGATGCTGTAAGAATGAGTACTTATGAAAAGTTTTATTGGAGCTTTGTCTTCCTGACAGTAAATTACGAGGCCTGTTAGCTCAGGCTGGAGGTCAAATTATAATACATGAAGTGTGTTGATGTGGTAATCACATAGTCATAGTTATAATAACATAATTATCTACTTTGTGATTTGGACCATAGTAATTTACTATGATGTTAAGCCTTTCTCAGTCCTGTTTCTTTCTATCAAAGGCATATGTGACTTATAACATTATAAACTATCAAACTTAATCTTAAAGCTAATTAGGTTTTTTGGCCCCATTCTTCCTCCTGCTGGAATTAATAATTCCCTGAATAAAGGCTGAGGACACACACAGGTATAGGTAGGGGAACATGCATTTCACCTGAACGGAGCCACTGTAATGCAAGAGAGACTCAACCCTTTCCTTGGGCAAATAGAGTCTTGCCGGCACTTCGTAGCATTGCTTTGCAAACAGTAGATTTCAATTAAAATCCCATGGCCCCTTGTGTTTTAATTCCTTAAGAAATCCTTTCTTCCTACCAGAAAGGGTTGTTTAAATATGTACAGACACCACTGTTGTCATTTGGCTAGCAGTGTCAGTTGCTTTTTCTCTCTCTTAAGTAAAAATGCAAGTTCTTAGAGACTACAGTGGAGAAATGTTAATGTTTGGAGTGTTGCATGCAACAGTGTTAGAAAAGGTGGGTCAGCTCAAGATTTTCTGTCTTAAACTTCCGTCTCTCTCCATTTTTATCCTACTACTGAATGAGGAAATGAGAAATGATAGTCAAATTGTGCTAAATAATTATGTACTAATTGATGTACAAGAAGATTAGGTGATGCATTACACTAGCAAACAACGAAACAACGGCCTTCAAATTCTTTAAATGTGATCTTTTATAGAAGCCAGCTCCAAGATGTGCAGTGGCAGGCCAGATGGTTTGTATACTGGTGTCCTGCCAAGCTGATATCCTTTGGGAGTCTGGGCTTGCTGGATGCCTCAAGGAGAATAATGACTATTGCCCCTTGTGATTTGGGGTTTTTTGAAATTGGGGGTGATCTGTAGCGATATGCTTATAGAACACATTTGAACAGTAGACTTGTGTTGAATCAACTGCTCTCTTCTGTTTGCTCTCCATGGACCATCCCAGTGAAAAGGCATTATATGTGCTTCTTGACTAAATGATCAGGGCACTTAGGTGGAAGTTGGAGGTCAGTAAGTTTACTATCAACAGACATTCACAAAATCTTTGTTTCTCATTCAAATTCTTCCACTTACAAAATTTGGTAGAAACAGCACAGAATACAAGTAGCTAGGATCAATAGTCCGCATCAAACAAATGTTTTTTAACATATTTTGGCAATATTTACCTGGTTCTCTTTTCTACATTGAACTCCCCCGTATGAAAGCCAAACTATCTCATTTTAGTGGCAAAGCCCTATCTCTTCTCTCTCTAGTTTTAACAAAAGCATTATTTAGAAGTAGAATATAAACACAATACACGGAAGTTGTAACCTGAAATGGTGCGTATTAAGTAGAGCTTTTTAGAGGCCCAGTGAAGTGAAAAGCAAACTTAAAAGAGAAAATCATGGTGTACATGAGGCTAAAAGCACTGTAGAGTGGTTTGTGCCTCCATTGGGGGGAAAAAATTGTAATCTGAAAGTCAAAAAACACTGGTAGTAATAGTCATTCTCTCTTAAGAGAGTTGTAAAAAGCAAAAAACACAAAACTTTTTCTTCTAACACTGAGCAAGGAGTTTTATATAATCAAAGAAAAGTAACTGAAGTTTCAGTCATGCTTTTTCTTTATCTGTTTTGCTCTTCCCTGGTAGGAAAGGTCATAAACAGGAACGTTAAGGCTGGTTTTGTGGTCAGACGTAAGGAAACAGAACACTAACGGTGACAGATCACGCGTATGTCAAGAAAGTTCTCTTAAGTCAAAACAATTATTTATCAGGCAACTAGAAATTAATTCTGTTCCTGCTATTTTTCAGAAAAAAAGCATTCATAATATTTTAAAAATAATAAATTGCTCTATATTTCATCTGCATTCACCTAGGCCTCTAGTCTCCCTTAACTACCAAGAATTCACTATGTATTTCCAAAGGTAAAGCTAATTGCCAGTTACCTTTTAGGTATCTCTAAAATAGGCACAGTTTGGTCAGAATCAGTAACTCCAGGACATGGAAGGAACTGGGTCTGTGTTCCCCTTGGAGAATCACTGCACTGAAGACCAGAAAGGTGCTGGAAACTAGGGAAGATGACAACATGCATTTTGTTCAATGTAAATGATGCCAACATCAATTCTAGGTTCACTTGGAGGTTAAACATTTGTAGGAAATGGAGAAGGGTTCCTCTGGAAGTCTCCCACTCCCCATGTATTGCTTATCTTGTACTCTGAAAAACATTATGTGCATAGGAGACGTGGGAACTGGGTCTAGTTCTCAGGTCATAGCAGGCCAGTCCCATGCTCAATACTGACACTGGTATAACTCAGAACAAAAATGAGTTGCCCATGATTTACATTTTCTGTGCTCCTTGATAAATCAGGCTTGTATCTTTTGGGCAGCAATTCTAATGTGAAAAAGTACTATATATTTTCTTCTTAGAAACAGCCCTTTCATTTAGTCCTCAAACTGATGAATGTTAAAGCTACTTACTAAAACCACATAAGGCATGAAAGATTTTTATAGTGCAGACCTTTCTCCTAAGGCCTGATTAAACCAAGAAATTCCCACATCTGTTTGAGTTAAGTCCATTTTTCTTGCAGCAACTTTTTCTTGGGAATAAAGAGAACAGAAGCGGCTAGGATAGAAAATGGAATATTTCAGAAAACTTGGAGGAGA